CATACTTTTATGCGATTGAAAATATTTTAAGATCTAAACTGAGTTTGGCAAAAGCTATTGCGTTTCCTAAACTGATCATTAATACGTAAATGTTGAGTTATGGGTAAGATGTTTGGTTGGAATTTTGACCTGTTTCGAGATGGTTTAATTATCATTTCAGCGTGTAAAAAATTAGAGTCTATGTTAGAAGGGGAGCCCTTAAACAGAACTGAGGTACTACAAAGTAACCTCCTTAACTTAAGTGAACGGCTATTTGCCGCCAACCAAATTGCTATTTGCCGCCAACCAAAATAAATAAATATATATATGTACATCTTTGGTTAAGGAGTTTCACAATCTACAACATTCCCAACTTTCAGAGAACATATTGAATCAGAAAAATTCGACGCTCGCCGGAAAAGTCTCCGGAAAATAATCAGGAAAGCCTATCCTCGACATAAACTGCGTACACGCATCCATTAACATTTGACATTTGACTCATTCCAACAAAAACTTCTGTTGACGAGCCTAGTGCCTCCATCGCCGCACCGTTCCTCCATCGCTGGCCAACCTCCCGTCACCCTCAATCGTCGGAAAACAAGTAAGTTTACTTTTTCCGGCAAGTTTTCCAGTTTTCCGGCGAAAAACACGGCGGGCCGAAAAAAAATTGCGGCTCGAACGCCGCCGAGCCGAAAAAAATTTGCGGCCATTGCGACTCCCGGCCGAAAAATTCTTTTGGCCCGGCGGCGCCTCGGCCGCAAAATTTTTCGGTCGGGCGTCGCAGCGGCCGCAAATATTTTTTGGCTCGGTGGCTTTCGGGCCGCAATTTTTTTCGGCCCGCCGTGTTTTTCGCCGAAAAACTGGAAAACTTGCCGAAAAACTTGTTTTCCGACGATTGAGGGCGACGGAGGAACGATGCCGGCGACGGAGGCACTGGGCTCGTCAACAGAAGTTTTTTTTGGAATGAGTCAAATGTCAAATGTTAATGGATGCGTGTACACAGTTTATGTCGAGGATAGGCTTTCCTGATGATTTTCCGGCGAGCGTCGAATTTTTCTGATTCAATACGTTCTCTGAAAGTTGGATATGTTGTAGATTGTGAAACTCTTTAACCAAAGATTTACAATTGTACATATTTACTTTTTTTTTTTTGGTTGGCGGCAAATAGCAAGCCCCTAACTTAAACCATTTGATTGTTGTCTTTGTTATTTTAGGGGGTTTCTTGGGCTATTTCAACGAACAAAACCAATTTGTTTTCCATTTTTTAGAATAGTTTCTTTTAACATGATATTGAAGCATATAAAAGGACAAATACATATATGTTTTGTTGAGGAATTGATTATAATCATTAGTTTTAGGACAGATTTGGTTGAGATCAGTTAGACAAATAAAATACTAGAAGTCAAGAGAGATAAAATAACAATAGCAATATAAACAGAACTATAGATCAGTTTGTTGTTATGTTGGTGATTAAAGAAGCATATTAAGTTTAAAAGTTCCCCAAAGAAGTAAATTTTTCCTCTTTTAGACATGAATGGTATGGGGTGATGATGATGATGGTTATTTTAAGGGGAAAGTGACCAACCTTGGTCTGTGATTGGGACTTTGAGGAGGGTGGTGGCCTTCTTTGTTGGTTGTTTGCTTCCCCCTTTTGGCATCTCCTGGTTCTGGGCTTTCCTTGCTCCATTCGCTTTCTACTACTTCACTTTCTTGGAATTTTGTATGAGAACAGAATCAAAAAGGGAAAAAAGAAGATGGAAGTTGGTGCTTTTCTCTACTCCCTTTGGATAGGGATGAGGAATATGTGGACTGAATATCTCTGCCCTCATTTGTTGCCCAGGCTGTTGTATTTATATTGGGTTGATTTACTGTATTCTAGGGGAGCTTGTTCAAATCTAATTGGCTCTGGGTTTAAACCATCCACATCCATGAAATACCATTTCTATTTCATATGTGGCCCCTACTGCCACAGCAGCAACTTTTCCATTCCACTACATATCACTTCCATTTCCTCTACATCCATGAAATCCACTATCTATTTCATATGGTGGGTCCAGCTTACTTTTTAATACATCAACACATTTTATCTAACCTATATGATTTTACCAATTTAAGATGTATCAAATAATTAAAATAATATATTGTAATTATTTGATTATCAATAATGAAATAAATTTACTAATTCATTGAAAAATATATTATAGCTTTAGTCAAACTTTGTTTCGTACGTGAACTTTGTTTCGTATTACACTTTCAGAATCTACAAATTTAATTTATCCAAACTTAATGAATTTTAGATAATTTGAAAAAAAAGAAATGAAAAAAAACATTACATACACAGACATAAAAAATGTCTTTCCTTTTTTATCATTTGTTATTAAAAGTATAATTTCAAAACAAAATGAAAATGAAAAAAAAAAACATCAAATGTGGGGTGGAGCCCACTCTTCACCCACTTGCTCTTCCATTTGCTATTTCATTAAGCGGAAGATCCCACTTTCTGAAATATGCACCACATCCATGGAAGAGGCAAATGAAATGCCACGTCACAATGGAAGGGACCTTTGACAGGCGTTGGGGATGGTCTTAGACCCACTCCCTGCTTGATTTTCATTGGTGGAGAACTAGAGTTGTAGGCCACTATTGCTATAGTAACCGACTTGGTTCATGGTCGAACCAGGGTTCAAGTCAATGGACGAACCGGTCTGGGTTGGATACAGACATGACCGGGTCGATCCGTTGATCGGGCTTTGACTAATCTTATGGGCTTGATCTGCATTTGGTCTTGTTGACTGATCTGGGCTATGACTGGGTTTGGGCTCGAATTTGATATGGGCCTGACCCAAATTATATCTTTAATTAACTTTATCTATTTATTTATTTATATTATTTTTTGCAGTCCTATTTTCTAGACTTTTAGGGCCCAAAATGATGACCTGAGAAAACCAAATCCAAAGAGGACGGTTCTCAAAATCTGATTGCGCCCTAAAGTTTAAAACAAAAGAAAAGTTTTCAAAACATTGGCCTCATTAGTTTCTCTTATCTTTCTATTATTGTAATTAGTTAAGATGTAATCCTTATGATGTTTGTAATTGCGTAATATCATATTATGATTTCGTTAGTTGTAATAATAATTTTCCTAAGTATGTTACTTTCCTTTCTTCCTATTTTTGTAAATTATGAGGTCCAATCCTCCCAAATCAAACGACCAAACCCAATGCCTAAACCAAATCGAGTAGGATGCTAAGAGCATATTTATATCGCAAGCAAACCAATAAACGACCGTTTTGGCTCCTTTAAAAAAAGTCCAACTTTTATCGGATTATTTAACTTAGTCGGATTGATACCATAAGATTTGCTATTGCTAATCTTAATGATCTAATACTTGCCTTCCCACGAAACATTTTGAAATAATTTCTAACATTTGTCTATAACAAGCGATCATCGACCTTGGATAATCGAAATGTTGATTACCAAACAGTGTTTTAGCCCGGACAAAATGGGTGTCTACACCCCCATGTCATTCTTCATGGTAGGTGATGTGCCCCCCCGCCACACTTATACAAAGAAAGTGGTGTTCTCTTGAACACACCCCTTTGTACACCTTCCTTGACATCAACGTGTCTCCGAGCCTAACACTTCACCTTCAACTTGTTAGGTGGTAGGCTTCCATGCCCTTCTTCCTGCCTCTTAGGTGGTTTGCATCCACCATACCCATTGAGTAGGGGTGGGAATGAGGGTGGGCAAGTTTGTGGTGGTAGTTGATCCAAATTAACTAGATCTCCACTAGCTTGTACAAGCGGTTGCTCCACGTGGGTGGAGAACTTGTGATTGAGATTCTTGCCATAACCACCACGTAGAAAAGGTGGTTGACTTGTCACTGGAGGCGACAAATTCCCTGACTGTAGCTGGGCAGTCCGACCACCGGAAACAAGAATAATTGTATCCTCAGTAGCAGTACTTTGTGGCGGATCTATAACATTTTTTTTGGTAAAGACATTTCTTGCACCACTGGTTCTATAAAATCATTTTCATACATGTCCAATCAATTTTTATTTTTTAAAACTGCATCAACTAATTGGTCCAACCGCCTATCTAAGGTAGAACTAAGAGAAGCAAATTTGAGACTTGTCTGATGTAAACTTTTAACAAGTCCATCCAAACTCTCCATCATGAATCGGTGGTTCTCCTCCATGGCATGGCGGTTTTCCACCATGACCAGGCGGTTCTCCACCATCATCTTCTGTGTCTCCTCCATTAGCAAACGGAGTGACATGATGGTGCGGGTTACATCGACAGAAGGTGCCACCGGTGGCAAATCCTCTACTTTGCCATTGTTTCCGACAAATCCTATTGCTTCTTGGCCAAGTTCAAACTTGGTGACTAGATCCATCACAAACCCAATTGAAATATCACCTTCTTGTTCTCTTAGTCGTGGAGCCATCAAATCAAACACACAGGATCCCAACAGGTGTGCCAATTTGTTTTCCGGCAAGGAAAAACTTGTGTTTGAACTCAATTAATGCACCTTGACTTCTTGAACAATGATTAATAACACGGTTCACAACTCTCCGAACAATGTTCGAACGAGGGTGTTTGATGATTATGATGGTTGATAAAACTAAGTTAAATTACTTCTACTCCTATGGAGGTTCAGTGAGAGCTCCAAAAACTAAAAGCTACAATTATGGCTACATGGCAGAGAAAAGATAAGTTTGACATGTGGTGTCAAATGTTTGGTTATGGAACCCTTGCTTCGTTTTCGTTTATCCTATTTATAGCCATTCCTTGTAACTGTCGTGTTACCACCTCTTGGTTACCGCTGCTCCACTGCTTGGTGTTTTATGTAGCTTGCTTGATGCCTTGACTGTTTTGCGTGCTTGCCACTTGATACCTTGCACCTTGATTAGGGGTGATAATCGGTTGACGGTTTCTTGGCTAAACCGAAAACTGACCCAAACCAAACGGTTATTAACCGAACCGAAAACCGATAGCTTGCCTTCGGTGGCGGTGTCCGTGTGCTGTTTTGGTGATTTCTATTCACCGAAAACCGCAGGTGGAGAAACCGAGATAATCTCGGTGCACCGAGTAACCGTCCCCCGCTTTTTTTTCCCAAATCTCCCTCCGATTCCAAGTCTCAACCCCTCCGTCCGCCATCGAAGTCCAGCGAACGAAGGCCAAGAAGGAGAAGGGGTAGCTGCAGTGGTGAAGATCGATCGCCGGTCGTCGTCGCCATCTCGTCGCCATCCCGTCCTTCTTCATCCTCCAGATCGAAGGCCAGGCGGCAGTAGCAGCAAGTCGATTTGATTGATCCTCTGTCACCGGCAGTCGCAGCAGATCGATCCTTGGTCGCCGTCATCGTCCCCTGCATCGCCCTGTTCCATCCTCACCGCCGTCCCTGAAGCTGAAATCGCGGTCATCCCGTCAACCCATCCCTTCCGTCGGTCTTCAGCTAACCGCGACACCCACCCGAAACCATCGAAGGCGGTTTTCGGCAAACCGATAAGTCGATCGGTGTCAGTGGCAGTTGCTATTTTTGGGTACTCGTCGGCTGCGGATAACCGCAGTTGCAGTTCGGTTAAAACCAAAACCGCACCGCTAATAGCCCTAACCTTGATGTCTCCACTTGATAGCTATCACTTTGTGCCAAGGAGGTGTCTTACTTGGTGAGTGAGGGCTTCACGCTTGGTGATACTCATGCTAACCACCCTGGCATGACATCATGTTCGATACGAGGATGCTTGGGGGTTTGATGGATGCTCACTGGTCCTCTTGTGGGTGACATCATGCTTGGCACCCTAGTGCTTGATAGGAGGGTATGCAACCTGCTTGAGAGGTGAGTGGCGAGGTCTTGATACTTAGCCAAATTCTATCCCCACTGTTTCTACACCTTTTATACGATGTCATGCTTGACACCTAGTGCTTGGTATGTGGAAGCTAGGTGCTTGATTGCGGTGCAGGTCTCCTTGCACGGCATCATCCTTGACACCCTAGCGCAAGGTAGGTTGGCCACATGGTACTTGGTGCTTGACCCCCCTTGGACGATGTCATGCTTGACCCCCCTTGTACTGTAGTACATGGTAGGTGGTTGAGAGAAAACTCCATACTTAGTCAAATCTCATCCCCACTGTGAATGTAGGGTAGGTGAGTTGTGAGATGTCATTACCACGTCTAGGGGTACTCGTGATAGCTCTCCTTGTATGGCATCATGCTTGACACCCTAGCGCAAGGTAGTTAGACGACATAGTGTTTGACCCCCACTTGCATGACATCGTGCTTGACCCTTGGATGATGTCATGCTTGAACCCCCTTGTGCTTGGGTCTCAACACTTCGCCAAAATTTGCCTTCTTCCCTTGTCGCGTCTAGAGGTAGTTGATATCACCCTCCTTGCACGGCATCATGCTTGATACCCGGGTGCAAGGTAGGTGCTTGACCCCTCTTGGACGATGTCATGCATGACCCCCCTTGGATGATGTCATGTTTGACCCCCCCTTGTGCTTGAGTCTCAACACTTAGACAAGTTTTGCCTCGGTCATGCCGAATTGGGTAATCGATGTTGAAGGTACGCTTGGCGCTTGACCCTTCTTGCACGTCATCATGCTTGATACCCCGAGTGCATGATAGGTAGGTGGCCATGGTACTTGACCCCTATTGCATGACATCATGCTTGATCCCCCTGGGATGATGTCATGATTGACCCTCCTTGTGGTGGGTCTCCATACTTAGCCAAATTTTGCTCACATCATGCCGACTTGGGTGGTTGTGTTGAAGGGTGTCAACGCTTGACACTTAACCCCTCTAGGATGAGAGGTGGGTGTTTGGTGGGTCAAGTAGTGTGTGCTGAGGTACATGATATGAAACCCAAAATACTATCATTTAGGCCCAGCTTAAACCAATTTATTTAATATGGTTAAGTTGGTCTTATAAATCACCACCACTCCTTGAAAATAATCAATGTGGTATTGAGTAATTTTTTTAGAGGTAAACAACATCCTAATAGTGTTGGGCTATTAGTTACTGATAAATGAAAAGCTGGAGTACAAGGTTTGTAAGGACCCTTGGTTCTTTTTATCTTTGAAATTTATTTTTACTTATGAGTAAGAGTTATCACCCAAGCTTAGCTAACGAGATTTGAGGTTGAACATTTAGGTACGACAATGAAGTTTTATGTGCGCAGTTATATATTGTGGTATTAGATCATTTATAGAGAAGAGATTAGTCACGTCTATAAGTAGTGGACGTCATGAAGTTAAAAAAACTACTGAAAATTAGAAACTTAATGACTTGCGATTGTAAATATCACATCACCTTTAGCCATTGTTTATTGTTTAATGTTGGGATTGGATACTATGTTAACCCCTAAATGGGTCTGCTTTTTGACACCATCCTTTTAATTGGTCCCTTTTACACTTAATTATTAGGCAAGTATTAATGGAAGTTTTAATAACTATGAATAGGGAAAGTCTTAACTGTCATTATTAATTATGAATGGGAAGGGGCAGTTTAGCTGGATGGGGAAAGTGGAGTTTCTACTCCCATTCTCCTGGTTTCTATTTTCCCCGTCCCTACTCTGCTATTTCTCGCCATTGCCGCCAATAACGATAGGTCTGGCCCCAAGTATTCTGGCCCGCAGGTTTATTCCCTGCTGGCACCTCAGGACTCGTTCTCATTCATCCTTGCCATTCCTGGTTTCATTAGAAAATAAGTCAATACTAAAAACTAAACATAACTAACAATGTAGTTGTACTTTAAACAACCATAACGATTTTGTAAATACCACTACAGTGATAGCCCTACACACAAAAACATTACAACGAACTACCATTGTAGTGATATTTCTGCCACTCTATCGATAGATATACCACTGCATGTGAAAGATCTACCAAAGAAACGAAAGACACACTATGTCACGGCACTGATAGATCTAACACTGCAACGATAGATTAACCATTGCAGTGATAGACACACTATGTCACTACAATGAGAGATCTACCAATGCAGTGATAGATCTACGACTGCATTGATAGATCTACCACTAAAGTGATAGATCTACCACTGCATGAATAAATAAACACAGTATGACACTACAACGATAGATCTACAACCGTCATGCAATACTATAGTGAAGGAGACCAATAAATATATGAATTATGGTCATTCAAGGAGAATTGCCTCACCTTAGGCAAATCCTGTCACCGCCATTATCTGCTTATAGAAGCTCTGTCGCAGATAGACGGTCGTCGATGAGAATCGATCAAGCACAGCAGAAAAAAAAAAGACAAACCAGGTTTGAAGTTGAGGGTTCGGGATGGAAGACGGAGGACGTCCGATGGGAGGGATGGGCCGAGTTTTGTTGTTAAGGAGATGGCGGGTTATGACGGGGGATAATGATTAGATTAGTCGACGGCGAATGGTTACTGCCGGGTTCTGAACAGAGAGAGGAGATGAAATTATCAACTGTTAACTTCCTACCACTTGATTAACACTAGTGAGAATGGACGGTAAAGAATATGGGTGTCGAAAATCAGACCCATTTAGGGAGTAGTCACGCTAACCGGTCCCTTTAATTTTCTTTGTTTGGTTGTAATCATTGTTGGAGCCAAATATTCTCACATTAATTCCAGTGCCAGTGGACAAGGAATTAATGGACGCTAGGAAACAATGGATTCCTTTATTGAAGCGAAGCAGAAACAACGCCCAAATAGATTATTTTGGGCAGACGACACTACCGACTCTACATTACAACAACCCGAACTACGTACATTCTGCTTGTTGGAATACCTTCGCTGCAAATCTTCAGGGCTTCATGATAATGATGACACATAGAGCACAACATCAAATTTTATTATTCTTGACTTCACTTATAAGCTGCTAAGAGTTTTATTATTATTACGGACACTTTCGGCCAAGGTAGCCACATCCCTCTGCATCTTTACATCTCCATGTTCTTGTCGCTTTTGCAGCCCTCTCCGTTGATGCACTTAATCAGATCATTAGCAGTTGCAATACCTAGAAAATAGCAGAACCAACCAATCCGGATATCAAAACAATATATATACTTGGCGTAAGCTACACGCGTCTGTGTTCAACTTAATTTTTTCAATTTAATATATTCCACTGAATCAGAACCGTCGGTTATTATTATTTAAGATTAAAGGGGTCGTTTGGAAGTTGCGAATGTTAAATCGTTGCTTTGTAATGAATCACCATAATATAAATGCGTGTATTGATACAATGGATGCATTTTAACAATACATTGTTTGGTTGTTGAGATTCTAGTTTATGCATTGATTTACATAAAGTTACTTTTATGGGGAAATGTCACATTTATTCTCAACTTTTAGAATAAGACAAAAACTATTAGGGATATAAATGGAAAGAAAAAGTTACACAAATCTAAAACCAACAATCACAACAATCTCAACTTTTAGTTGAGATTGTATAATGCATCATTTCTTGTGATTGTTGGTGGGACCTATCTAAAACAATGCATGCATTGTTTTACACTTTGACACTTTCAAACATTGTATTGTGCACAAAACATGTATTCAAGAAACACAACTCTAACAATCACAACTTCCAAACGTCCCCTAAATGAATCTTGTAACTTGGGTTAGAGAGTTAGGAACTGAGATTCACCCATTAGAGATTAGGGTATAGTATCATGTCTCACACTTCGGTTAATTCGTGCTCTAAATAGTTCTTGGGCATAAGATCTCCAAGATGGGGATTGAGGTGGACAGAGCGAAGATCGAGACTATCAGCAAGCTGCCTCCTCCTACATCTGTTAAGGGGATCCGGAGTTTTCTTGGTCATGCAGGGTTCTACAGGCGGTTCATCAAGGATTTCTCGAAGATTGCTCTGCCCCTGACTAAGCTTCTAGAGAAGGATGCCCCCTTCCAGTTCACTGATGCATGCACAGCGGCTTTCACGACCTTGAAGGAGAAGCTCACTCAAGCTCCTATCATGGTTGTTCCTGACTGGTCCCTGCCATTTGAGCTTATGTGCGATGCCAGTGACTTTGCTGTTGGAGCTGTGTTGGGGCAGAGGCGAGATCAGCACTTCCGACCTATCTACTACGCCTCGAAGACCTTGAATGATGCCCAGGAGAACTACACCACCACGGAGAAGGAGCTGCTCGCGGTGGTGTTTGCCTTCGATAAATTTCGTCCTTATCTGGTCTTGTCCCATGTGACCGTGTATACAGATCACTCCGCGATTCGATACTTGATGAGCAAGGTTGATGCCAAGCCTAGGCTCATACGATGGATCTTACTGCTGCAGGAGTTTGACATTGAGATTCGGGACAAGAAGGGAGCGGAGAATGTTGCTGCCGATCACCTCTCCCGGTTGGACGCACCCCCTGCGGACAACCTCAAGGAGGAGATCAACGACTCCTTCCCAGATGAGAGACTGATGATGATGTGCCAGGTGGAGAGTGTCACCCCCTGGTATTCTGATTTTGCAAATTATCTTGTGGGCCAGCAGCTGCCCAAGGGGATGACAACTCACGCCAAGCGGAAGTTCTTCTCCGACCTGAAGTACTACTACTGGGATGACCCTCAT